CAGGTGTGCTCAGGTGTGCTCAGGTGTTCACAGGTGCTCACAGGCGCTCCAGCCCGCGCAGCCCCGGCTTTCCCACGGCCGGTGGGTGTGTGTGGGTGTCATGGGGGGCTCACCCCCGGTGAGAGCCCCCCGCACCCCCGGGCCGGGCCCGCCGGGCCCGGGCCGAGCCGAGCCGGGCCGGGCCATGGCCCCGCCGGGCCCCGCGGCGCTGCGCTGCGCGCTGCTGTGCGCGCTGCTGTGCGCGCACGGAGCCGCTCCCACCCGCGCAGGTACGGCCGGGGGCGCGGGGGGCAGCTCGGGCCTTCGCGGCTTTGGGGCAGCTGAACTTTCCTGTGCGGGTTGGTTTTTTTCCCAGGGGTTCTCTCGCCCCCACGGGACTCGGTGGCCAGACCTTGGTGCGGGGGAGAGGGACCCCTGCCCCCGCTGCCAGCCGTGCTCGGGGGGCTGGGACCCCCGGGGACCCCCCTGGGCTGCAGCGGGATGAGCGGCGTGCTGCGTCCAAACTCCTCCCCAAAAAGTGTGGGGATCTGGTGGGCCGTGGCGGGGGTCGGAGCCGTCCCCCCCTTCCCGAGAGCTGCAGCTCCGGGCATTAATTATGCAAAGCCCGGGCGTCCTCCTGCTCCCCCTCTGCCATCCCCGGCTGCTGCAGGGACACGATTCCACCCCGGCTCACCCCGGCGGACCCACGCGTGTTCCCGGAGCACCCCGGGAGAGGGGCTGCCCTCAGCCGCCCCCTCCCTTCCTTCCTCCCTCCCCACACCTGACGGCAGGAGCGGGAGCTGACAGCGTTGGGCTCAAACGTCTGTTCCTGCGCCTGCCGAGATAAAAATAAATTATAAACCTGCCTAAAGCCTTGCGAACACAGTCCTACTTTCCCATTGGCTCCCGGCAGGTCTCCAAATGCTGGAAGGGGGGGCCAGCGGCGTGCCCACCTCCCCTCCCGTAGCCATGGCGATGGGGCCGCAGCATCTCCACTTCCTGCCTTGGCCACCAGTTTCCCCCTTGGCTTTTCCTGGGAAAGAAGGGAAGGGGCTTTTCTCCCCGCCGCGCATGGGTTTGGGGTACCCTGAAAGCCGGGGGGCTGCAGCGGTGGCTCCAAAGGGTGCCCAGCCCGGGGGAGGCAGCCCGGGGGACCCCAGCCCGGGGGACCCCAGCCCGCAGAGCCCCCCGAGCCCTGCCGGGAGGGTTTGCCCGGAGGAGCGCACCCGGCGGGGAGCGGCTCCCGGCTCTCTCCCGGGATGGAGCAGAGGCGGCGCGGGCAGGGCTCCAGAGCTGTGAATTAATGATGAGCGTGTGGGGAAGAGCAGCTCCGGGGGGACTCACGCCCCAGCGGCCGAGGGAACGGGGGTCCCGCGGGGTGGGCTGGGGGCACAGGGGCGGCACCGCTCGGGTAACCCCGACCAGGCTGCTGCTGCCTCATCTCGGTTCATCCTCCACCAAAGGATCCCTGGCCGGGGCCGGGGGTGTTTCCTGCCTTGTGGGTGATGGGGGAGCCCTGTGTGAGCTGGGGGTGTCCCCTCGCTGGGGGCTGGTGATGCTGTCCCCATCGGGACCTGCTGGGTTTGGTGTATGGGATCTGCTTCATTCCTGCTGCTGCTTCGTCAGAATGGCCCCTCCCTGGGGCCGGGGGTGCAGCCCCCTCCCCGGTGCCGCAGGGGAGGCACCCCTCACCCCTTTGCCCGGCTTTGGCAGGAGAGTGTGGCAAGCTGAGGTCCTGCGAGGCGTGCACAGCCAGCAGCCGCCCCCACAACGGCACCGACTGCGTCTGGGCGGGCTGCGGGACCCCCGAGGAGCCAGGTGAGGGGCTGGGCTGGGTGGGCACAGAGAGGGGCTCTCATCAGCCCTCCCCAGCCCCGTCGCTGGCTCTCAGCACCCTCGGATGCCCAGTCCCAGCTGCTTTCACCATCAAGGCCCATCTCAAAGCACCTGCCGGGGGCTCTGCCCTGCGGGGTGCAGCTCTGAGCCCCCACTCCCAGACCCTCAGGTGGATGCCCACCCCTGGCAGTGAAACCTCCTCATCCCAGCCCCTCAGGTGCCCAGGGCAACCCTGGGCCTGCCCAGCACTGGCTGCCCTGCTTTGGGATCCCCGGGAAAACTCTGCTCCTCTTCCCGCAGGAGCGGGGAGCTGCGTGCAGCGAGGCTCAGCAGCGCCGGGGAGCTGCGCCCTCTACAACAGCAGCGCCCTGTGCCGAGGTAACCCCGAGCCCAGAGCCCCCAGACCCTCTGAACTTGGACAGAGGTGCTGCTGCGGGAGCCAGGGCCGTGGGGATGGAATCCCACTGGGACAGGGACAGGTGTGGCAGCGTCCCCCGCCACCCCTTTTACCCCTTCCCTCTGTGCCTGCCTTCCCCAGCGCTGAAGTCCCACACGGAAGAACCTCCACGATCCCCCAGCAAGGAGCCAGTGACACACTCCACAAGTGAGTGGGTCTGGGGAGGGGTGGGAGGCCGTGGGACGGGGGCCTGGATGCCCCAGGGACCAGGGGCTCGTCCCAACAAGGCTCTTCCCTCTCTGGTTCTCATCCCTTTGGGAGGGACGAGCGGAGCTGACCGCGGTGTTGGGCCAATGGATGCGCCTGCTGTGCCAGGTCACAGCCCTGTCCTGTCCCCCCTCTCCGCACGGGGCAAAGCAGTGGCTCATGGCGCCCACCAGCCCTCCAGGAACAAGCCCTGATTCCATCCTTGCTGGGAATTGCCACCTCCAGCCTGGCTGGGAGTGGAGCAGGAGCCTCTTCCAGGAAGGGGGAACTGGAGAGCGCAGCGGGAAACCTGAGCCCGGAGCCTGCTGAATTATTGATCCCCTGGGATCTTCTTGCTGCTGGCTCCTTTCCTGCAGCTCCAGCTGCCCTGGCATGGCAAGGGGCTGAGCCCACCCCAGCAGCCACGCGCTGGTGGGGACAGCCCAGCCCCACGCTGGGAGCTGCCATTCCTCTTTTGGCTCCTTCAGCCCCCAAATCCCCTCTCTTGGGTGGGCACACCCGCACTCAGGGGTGCCAGCAGCACTCGTGACTCCCCAAACTCCCCTTTTCCCCGGGCCCAGGGACCACCACGAGTGCCCCTCTGACGGGCAGCCCCGAGTTGCACCCGCCCGGCTTCGACACGGCCAGCTTTGTGGGGGGCATGGTGCTGGTGCTGTGCGTGCAGGCCGTCGCCTTCTTCGTCATCAAGTTCATCAAGTCCAAGGACAGCACCTACCAAACGCTGTAAGGGAGCCAGGGGGGGACCCGGGCCAAGCCCACCCTGAGTCAGGACTGGGGTCTCCCCGGGCTGTGTCCTGTCCCCCCGCTGTGCTGTGTCCCTTTGTGCCAGTCTGTCCCCACGCCGCAGGGGACGATTTGGGACATGGAAGGGCTCATGTCCCCCTGCCGGTCCCCCGGTGGTTGTCCGGCTGTCCTGCCCCCTCTGTCTGTCGCTGTCTGTCGGGGTCCTGGCTCTGAAGGGATCGGGAGGGTGCCAGGTGTGTCCCAGCAGTGCCAGGAGCTGCTCGCTGCTGTCCCTGTGCCCCGGGGTCGGGAGGGTGCCAGGTGTGTCCCCCAGAGTGCCAGGAGCTGCTCGCTGCTGTCCCTCTGCCCCGGGGTCGGGAGGGTGCCAGGTGTGTCCCCGAGGTGCCAGGAGCTGCTCGCTGCTGTCCCTCTGCCCCGGGGTCGGGAGGGTGCCAGGTGTGTCCCCGAGGTGCCAGGAGCTGCTCGCTGCTGTCCCTCTGCCCCGGGGTCGGGAGGGTGCCAGGTGTGTCCCCGAGGTGCCAGGAGCTGCTCGCTGCTGTCCCTCTGCCCCGGGGTCGGGAGGGTGCCAGGTGTGTCCCCGAGGTGCCAGGAGCTGCTCGCTGCTGTCCCTCTGCCCCGGGGTCGGGAGGGTGCCAGGTGTGTCCCCGAGGTGCCAGGAGCTGCTCGCTGCTGTCCCTCTGCCCCGGGGTCGGGAGGGTGCCAGGTGTGTCCCCGAGGTGCCAGGAGCTGCTCGCTGCTGTCCCTCTGCCCCGGGGTCGGGAGGGTGCCAGGTGTGTCCCCGAGGTGCCAGGAGCTGCTCGCTGCTGTCCCTCTGCCCCGGGGTCGGGAGGGTGCCAGGTGTGTCCCCGAGGTGCCAGGAGCTGCTCGCTGCTGTCCCCCTGCCCCGGGGGTCACCGTGTCTGATATGGGCACCGTGCCCCCTCTCTCTTTCCTTCCACGCTGCCAGAGAGGACAACCAGTAGGTTCTGGGTGCCGGGGGTGGGCAGGGGGTGTCCCCCCGCACCCCCGGAGCTCCAGCCCTGCTCGCAGCCCCCCGGGCCCTCCCTGCTGGTTTGCATGGCGGGTGTTTCCCAGCTGGTTTTGTGTGTCCTGTCCGTTGTTAGCGAGGGAAAGGAAGGGGGTCCCCCCCTCGCCCCCTTTCTGGGGGGCAAGCCCCCCATACAGCCCCTTCTGCCACCGGGGTGAGGTGTCCCCAGTGCCCCCAGCCTCGCCCTGAGCCTCCGTGACAGCACGGGGACGGCAGGGCTCCCACTTTGGCCCCAGTCTGGCCCCAGTTTGGCCCCATTTGGCCCCAGCAGCCCCCTTCCCACTCTCGGCATCCCCTGCCCCACTGCCTCCCCACAGCCTTGGGGCTGGTGGGCCCCTTCCCCTCGTGGGCCCCTGGGTGCTTTTCCCTGTGCCCCCTGTGCCCCCCGTGCCCGCCCCAGGAGCGGAGCCAGGGCCTCGCTGTGTGCTTTTGCTGTGCCTCTGTGTGCTCTGGGGGGGCTTGGGGGGCCCCTCTCCCCCACCCTCTTTCTGTGTGCTGTTTTGGGGAGGGGGCTGCGTGTCGTGTGCCGTGGGGTGACACTTGTAGCTCGGGCTGCCCCCATTAAACTCTGCCAGGTGGAGTCTGCGCTGTGTCCGGGGGTCGCTGTGGCTGGGGGGGTGCAGGGGCTCCCCCCCCCTCCAGTGCAGTCCAGCCCCCCCCGTGGCGTGGGTGGGCACTGGGGACACCCCCAGCACCCCCTCCCTGGGTGCTGCGAGGGGCTGGGACCCCCAGGGTGAAGCCCCCGGGGCCTTTCCTGCTACGTGTCCTCTCTGTCCCACGCCCCAGGATCTGAGGTCCCTCCAGGCTGGGGGCGCTGTCCCCCCCCCGGGTGAAGAGGCCCCCGCTGGTGTCCCCCTGCCCCGGCCGGACTGTCCCCCCTGCACAGCCCCCCCACGACTATGCAAACTGGGGACACCGGGGTGGGACGGACCCCCCAGCCCCGGCCCCCCCGGCTGCTCCCAGGGGAGGCAGCTGGGCAGGGGGGCCCCTCCAGCCCTGAATTCCACCTGCAGCCCCCCACCCTGTGCTGGCCAGACGCCCAGGGCACCCCGGGACCAGAGGACACAGGGCCCTGGGGGGCACTGGGGGACACTGCTGGCCCCACAGCGGGCAGAGCCTGAGCTGGAGCAGGGGGCACAGAGACAAATAAAGGATTTTCCTGTAATTTCTGGTGTCTGTGTCATTGTCACAGCTCCTGTCACAGCTGCTGTCACCCGCAGCCCCAGCAGTGGGGCTGAACTGGGACCTCCTGGCTGCAGAAAACCATCGGGGGTTTGGTGCTCTGCCCCCAGGGTGGGGCTGGTGGGCGGCCCAGTCCTCCCAGTGTGGGTGTCCCGGGGACAGGGCAGCCCAGTGAGGGGTACCCCTCCAAAAAAAAGGGGCATCAGTGCCCCCCAGCCCCAGGCTGTGCCAGGGCCACCCCCGGGGATGGAGGGCACGGCCCCACACTGGGAGCAGCAGCTCCAGCCCCACAGCCGAGGGAGAGGTCAGGGTGTGCTGGCCAGGGCAACGAACAGCCAGCAGCAATAAAATCTGCCAGATGTGCCCTCGGGTGCCACTTCATTGCTGCCGGAAGGGAGGGCACACACGGGTGTGCGTGTGTGACACAGTGACCCCGCGGGTGGCACAGCTGTGGCACAGCTGCCCTGGGGGCTACGCCCGGGGGGCCAGGTTGGTCCGCAGGGGCAGCAGCGCCTCCACCCAGCGCCGGGGCTGCTCCAGCAGCTGCTTCCACACGCGCTGCTCCTCGGCCGTGGAGTCCATCCAGCCCACGGGCAGCCCGTAGCTGCTCCCTGCGGGGGACACCCGGTGAGCCCGGGATGGGGACAGCCGGGGGGATGGGGACAGCCGGGGGATGGGGACACCTGGGGGATGGGGACACCTGGGGATGGGGACACCTGGGGGAATGGGGACACCTGGGGGATGGGGACAGCCTGGGGGATGGGGACACCCCAGTGGCTGGGGACACCCCGGGGGGCTGGGGACACTCTGAGGGGCTGGGGGACACCCCAGGGGCAGCGGACACACCGGGGGCAGGGGGACACCCCGGGGGGCTGAGGACACCCCGAGGAGCAGCGGACACCCTGAGGGGCAGGGGACACCCCGGGGCCGGGCCCCGCTCTCACCGGTGCCCAGGCTGAGGCGGATGCCGCCCAGCTGGCGCTTGGCGAAGGCCTCGCGGTGCCAGAGGGTGAACTCGGCGCAGGCCTCGGCCAGGTCCCTGGCCTGGAAGCCGTCGTACACCATGGTGTGGTTGAACAGGGGGCTCAGGCTCCTCCGCACCACCCGCGTCTTCTGCCGGCTCGCCTTGCTGTCGTCCGGCAGCACGTAGCTGGGGTGGCACAGGGTGAGGGGGACGCCCCGGCCGCCCCCACGGGCGTCCCCCCCGTCACCCTCGGCCTTACCACTGCACGAAGGCGTCCACGGTGCCGCCGTGCAGCGGGACGAGGCTCTGAGTGTCCTTCACCCAGATGTGCAGCTCGCCCGTGGGTGGCATCCCCCCTCCTGCCGGGCCACGAGGGTCAGGGGCACGCTGGCACGCCGGCCCCCCGCCGCCCGCGGCCCCTCTCACCTTCCGAGCCGCCGGGGATGAACTTGAGCGCCAGGTTGAGGCTGCCGCGGCTGGCGAGGCCGTCCGAGGGCACGGGCGTCTGGGGAGCACGGGGGTTACGGGGGCAGCGCACAAAAAGGGGGGCTGGGAGGAGGGGAGCTCACCCGTGGCTGCAGGCTGAACCACTCGGGCCGCGTGTTGGCCCAGTCCCAGGTGCCCAGGGCCACCTCCACCTCCCCCAGGAAGAGGTTCCTGCCCAGGCTGTCGTGGTGCCACACGGACAGGTTCAGGGTCCGGCCCTGCAGGTCCCTCTTCTCCAGCTTGTACTGGTGGGGAGGGGACACGGGGTGAGATCAGCCACCCCCACCCATCCAGTCTGAACCCCCAAACCCACCCGAAGGGGGCTTAGAAACCTTGAGGGTCTCGTTGAAGACGGGATCCAAGCTCCTCTTCCTCACGGCGGTCTTGCGCTTGCTGCGGTTGGACTTGTCGGGCAGCAGGTAGGTCTTGATGTACCTGGGGCCAGAAACCGAGCTGGGGCGGGGGCCAGGGGCACCCCTGGGCAGCGCCCCCGAGGGCCGGGCACTCACGGGTCCGAGCGCTGCTTCTTGGCCTCGGCCAGCTGCCGGCAGCGCAGGACGTGCACCTGCAGCTCCTGCTGGGCCGCGTGGTAGCGCAGCGAGAACTGCACGCAGCCGCGCACGGCCACGCGGCCCAGCTCGGCCTCGCTGTACAGGCTCAGCAGGCTCCCGCTCAGCTGGGGACACAGCAGGGCTGCTGGGGGTGCCAAAGGCAGCCCAAACCAGCCCAAAGCCAGCCTAAACCAGCCCAAACCAGCCCAAAGCCAGCCTAAACCAGCACAAACCAGCACAAACCAGCACAAACCCAGCCCTAACGCAGCTCTAACCCAGCCCAAACCAGCCCAAACCCAGCACAAACCAGCCCAAAACCAGCCCAAACCCAGCCCAAACCCAGCCCTAACCCAGCACAAACCAGCCCAAACCCAGCTCTAAAACAGCCCAAACCCAGCACAAACCAGCACAAACCCAGCCCAAACCCAGCCCAGCACAAACCCAGCCCTAACCCAGCCCAAACCAGCCCAAACCCAGCCCTAAATCAGCCCAAACCCAGCCCTAACGCAGCCCAAACCCAGCACAAACCCAGCACAAACCCAGCCCTAAAACAGCCCAAACCAGCCCAAAACCAGCCCTAACCCAGCTCTAACCCAGCACAAACCCAGCCCTAACCCAGCCCAAACCCCAAACCCAGTTCCAAACCCCATTCCCAGCCCCATTCCCATCCCCACTCCCATTCCCATCCCCATTCCCAGTCCCAGTCCCAGCCCCACACCGTGGAGGAGCTGAGGCTGGACACGCCCAAACCAGCCCAAAACCAGCCCTAACCCAGCTCTAACCCAGCACAAACCCAGCCCTAACCCAGCCCAAACCCCAAACCCAGTTCCAAACCCCATTCCCAGCCCCATCCCCATTCCCATTCCCACTCCCAGTCCCACCCCTAGTCCCAGTACCAGCTCCACTCCCACCCCCATTCCCACTCCCAGTCCCAGTCCCACTCCCAGTCCCAGCCCCGCACCGTGGAGGAGCTGAGGCTGGACACAGAGGAGCTGGTGCTCAGCAGGCTTGGGGGGCTGTGGCCGTTCTGTGGGGGCAGTGGGTCTGCGGGGGTCTGATCCCTCTGGGGGGTCTCTGCTCTCTGGAAATACAAAGAGGGGTCAGCACCCCCCCTTGGGCCCCCAGACCCACTGAGGACAGCCAGCCCCCAGCAGTGCCTGCTGCTCGGGCACAGCCCATGCTGTGCTGGCTCTGTGCAGTCCCCCAGGTCCCCAAAACCCCACAGACCCCAAAACGGGGGGCAGGAGGGGGGTCCCTTGAAGGGCCGCAGTGGGGGCAGGGGGAGGCTGGGGAGCAGTGCAGGGGGGCTGCAGCTCCCAGACCCCCACAGCCCCGACCCCACCCCGCTCACCTGGCTGCTCCCTCGCCGGGATGTCACCCTGCAGCCCGGGCTGTGACACCGGGGTCCCCTCCACGGCCGGGGCGGGGGGGCTGGGCTGGGAGGGAAAGGGTGAGAAGGGGACCCCGGGCACCCTCTGCTCCCCCAGCTGCGCCCCCCAGCCCGGCCCTCCGGGGAGAGGATGAGGGACGGGGACACCCCCAAGGACATTTTGTGGGACATTTCCCATCACTCCCAGTGCAGCACAATCTTGGGGTGGCGCTGGGGGCGCTGCAGGTGAGCCCCCCCACCACCGGGGCTCAGGTGATGCTCAGCCCCCGCCAGGGACCCACCTGGGGCTCAGTGGCCTCCGGCACCTCCTCTGGGGGGCAGCTGCGGGGAGAGACCACCGTCAGTCTGGCCCAGAGGGTGACAGGCAGAGCCAGGACGGTGGGAGACACTGGGGTAAGGGACAGACAGACAGACGGACACTGGGATAAGGGACAGACGGACAGACGGACACTGGGGTAAGAGACAGACGGACACTGGGATAAGGGACAGACGGACACTGGGGTAAGGGACAGACAGAGAGACGGACAGACGGACGGACACTGGGAAGGTGGACAGACACAGACGGACAGACAGACACTGGGGTAAGGGACAGACAGACAGACGGACACTGGGATAAGGGACAGACGGACACTGGGAAGCTGGACAGACAGGTGCTGGGGTGGTGGGAAGCAGTGGTGCATGGATGGTGGGAAGGCAGGCCCTGGAATGACGGACAGAAGGACAGACGGACACCAGCCCTGACTGCGCCGTCCCCTCCCCCAGGGCTCCTGCCCCCCCCCCAGCCCCCTTGTGCCAACAGCTCCAGGGCGCCTGTGGGGTGACACCCTTCCTTCCTCACCTCTCGTCCGTCTCCAAGGCACCATCCTCATCCTCATCCTCATCCTCATCCTCATCCTCATCCTCATCCTCCTCCTCCTCTGCCCGCGGCTCACCGATGGCCCCCAGGCTGGGGCCGCGCTCCAGCTCCCCGGCTCCTGGGGCACGGGGGGGCTCAGCGGGGCAGCCGCGGCCCCCCCGCCCCCCGAGCCC